GCGAGCACACAATCGAGGCCAACATTTTGCGCAAGGCCTCCCAGAAGCAAATGCTCGACGACGTCGTCATCCAAGAGGGCGAGTTCACCACCGACTACTTCAACAAGATGTCCGTCAAGGACATGGCCGGCGACGTGGTGGAGCACGCCCTGGAGGACGGCACGACGCTCGTGGCCCAAAACGAGACCACGGACGGCATCATCGGGCGGTTCCACGAGAGCAACGCGGCGGCCAATGCGGCCATGGACCGCGTGCTGGGCGGTGTCAACAACGACGCGGGTGGCGGTGGCGGTGCGGTTGGCGGTGGCGGTGCCATGCCAGGCGCGGGCCGCGTGCTGGAGCAGGCCGAGGACACCGAAGACGTGGCGGCCGCGCGGCTGGCCGAGAAGGAGATTCTGCAAGACGACGCCGACTTTTCCGAGAAACCAGCCGGCGCAGGCACAGCGACCGCGACGGCGACCGCTGGTACGCCCGTGCCTACGTCGGGCATCTCCAGCGCCCGCCAGGCGACACCAGCGGGTCTCGGTCTCGGTCTCAGCGGCCCGCTGTTCGATCCGATCACGGGTGCCGAGATCGTGGCGCCGCCACCCCCGCCCGTCGAGAACAATGCCTGGGGTGGCGTCATGCACACCGTGGACGACTACATGCTGCGGTGGATGAGCGTGATGCTCGAGGGCACGGCGCTGGAGCTGCCCAAAGACCGCAAGAAGAGCAAGAAGAAGCGGGGCAAAGACACGCGCAAGCGGTAGACCCAAGACACGGCGCGTTCACACCCGCGGTTGTCATTGCATGTACGGCACATAACATATTTGGGGGGGGGGGGGCTTGGATTCTGGATTGGGTACTTTGGCGTGTCTCTTTGTATTTTCATTCTTTCATACGCTTTCTGTTCGATTTGATGGCATAGTCTCGTGGTTTTTTGGTTGTACTTGTTTTGTTTTGTTTTCCTTTCTTGTACGATGGTTTAGTGGGACACCAAAAAGGATGGGTGGGAAGATTGGCGTTCTCGGTTTGCAAAAAACAATTCATCTCTAATTTAATACTTCATCCACAGTTGCACCCTTTCACACCAACGCAGCAGTTCTTTGGTGCCGTAAGCATGAAGAGTTTGTCACAACGTCGCACAAATCTAATACTTTATACAGTATAAGAAGACCCGCAACTGGTAGGAGAAAAACTGTGGCTTGGAGCCCTGTCGAAATTGTCGTCTGCCGTGCCGCACAACACAACACTACCGTTACATAAGGGAAAGTGTGCCATTGTATTTATTCCACAAAGGTAAGCCCTTGTACGTGACGTCACAGAACGTTGTAAATTACCATCAGTATGAACGACGTTACTGTCTCACAAAACAACATCCACCCTCATTTGAGTCTGGATGGTACTCTGATATGCTGACCAACGACGATGAGTGCGCGGGTGCGTGCGTGAGAACAGCGTCTCACTGGCCGTTTTGTAAGTGAGAGTGTCGAGTACTTTTGGACCTACGTCGTTGACTTCTTGTGAAGATCGTGGCTAGATGTTGCATGCTCGCAACAATCTCGATCCGTAGAAAACCCAAAGAACACGAGCCTTTTGGTTCCGGAGACGATCCCGACCGTGCCTTGGGGTTGACATAACGTTGCTTGTGTAAGACAAGGGTCTTTCGGGCACTCATCCAGGCCGTCCTGTCCATCCTGAACTCTGTATTGTCCAAGCTTTGAGCTATTTTCTCCAGTGTAAGCAATCTGTATTCTGTAGTCAGTAGTCTGCAGTATGCAACCACAGGCTTACACGCTGAGTGGTATCCACCGTCTCATTGTCCAATTCTCACCATCTCGGTCATTTGGGACCATGCTTGGCCTGGCTTTGGTGTATCTTGGCGTTTTTGTCTACTTCGTAGTTGCCAGTGACTTTCTCGTCTCTTGTCATATTTATGGGTTGACGTGTTGTCATCACGGCCTAAGATTGTCCAAGGAGGGTGGATATGCGCTATGAATCGCCGCTTTATGCATGTCTCTCCCGCACAAACCTAAAAGCAAAAGGTGAAGTCCTGTCATCGTGTGAAATACGAGAACGCCCAGCCCAGCTGAAGCTAAGAAAAAAAACCGAAAAAAAAAAAAAAAAAAAAAAAACTTTACCTTCTGCCCAGAAAGAGAGGAGCCGTGAATAAATGGAAACGAAGGAGCCCAGCGAGCCTTACGACGCATTGTGGAAATGGACATTTCACGGTCGACCCTGTTTACTTTCTTTTACCTTTGGTCTATTCACTGGTTGTGATTTCGATGACAATGTCAGCTTTTTCATAACCAGGTCATGTCTCTTGCTTTTAAGGCATAACCCTTGCTACGCGTCTCACTTGCACCGGTATCTAGTATCTAGGTTTGCGAGGTTTCTTTCTACTACTGGTTTGTCGGCGTCTCTTTTCTGACTCCAAGACCGAATGCCTGTCAGACCGAGTTGTTCGTCACTGTGTATCTAACCACTGGAAGGGCTACCAAACGCTCTAGTGGACGGAAATGCGCATGTCCAGTCTTGTTTTCTTTTTTTTTGTTTTCTTTTTTGTTCTTTACTTGTCTCTGTTTTTACGCTGCTTGCGTGCTAAACACCTCCGAGTTTCTCGTATCGACGCAGACTGCTCTGCAGGCTGAGGCTGCAGCAGAGCTGTTCCTGGCGTTCCGGCCAGTCAGCACGCAGAAACCACCCATCGCATCACACCCGCTACTCAGTAGCCGCAGAAAAACGACCAAGGGTGCAGTAGCTTTCCTCGTAATGGAGAATTCTGAAAGAAAAAAAAAAGCAAGAACATCGGAAAGAGGTCGAGCAGTTGCAGCCCACCGCGCATGTCACTGGTGGTGGAGAGCAGAAATAGAACATCAGGCACGTAAATCTAGTGGCTAAAGTCGCCGATTCCATTCATCTCAGCTTATGGCTTTCTGGGTTGACGGGTAGCAAACGGTGGAGAGCTTGTACGGATGCCTGCCAGGACTTTGGCCCGTTGTCGCCTCCCATACCAGTCGTATAGATGACCTTTTGTGGAGTAATAAGGCGTACTTTTGTGCACACGGCAACGTGGCCGACAAGCGTTGATTGACAGACGTCATTTTTGACTGTTGACCACGGAAGCTGTCATCCAGCTAAATTAGTGACGACAACTTAGTGCTGAGTACGTCGTCCTATGCACCGAATACTGCAGTCGATGGTTGGAACATGCTTTGTGAGAATCGTCCGGGAGAGCATGCTCCATAACGCAGCGGAATCAAAAAAGGAAGAATATGAACATATCACGTCTTATCCACGCATCACGCACGGCCATGAGGGACACCATTGCCTCCACCAGTGAACGTTCCCGTTTCGGCATTGGCCAGCTCCTCAACGTCGGTTGGACGGGACGACAGTATGAGACGACGGGATGACAGGTCCTATGTCTTTCTCCATCTCAGTCCACTGCTGTCAGTTTGTGTGGGTTGTGCGTGTGGATTGCCCAGGTGGTGATCGATACGAGTTTGTCTCCACTTCCGTACTTCGCGTCTCTCTTTCCCGCAGACGGAACGGCGGCGATCGAGAAGACGAGGCGAACAAGAAAACAAAAGGGTTGCGGGCTGGCCCACACTTTACGTTGGAACCTGGTCGCTGGGAGCTGGCCATTACGGAGCACTGGATCTATGACCAACCTCACGCAACCCACAAACGTCTGACTAGGATATACACCAGGCACGCACCGGACCAGGTTGTTTGGAAGTTGGCCGTGGATGGACATGAAAGGAGATACAAGGACAGGGACATGGGAGGTGTTATTGTCTCTCGGTGCCATTCCCATGCAAAGTACAACGGCAGGTCTGGCCAAAGTGATCGTCGATGACCGGTGGGCTGGCCGTCGTTACGTGACTGGCCGTTGAAAGACGAGCGATGAGAGGTGCCAGTCGGTTGATCAGACTCGTCGGGCAACGACAGACTGGCATTGGAGACGCCGGATGGCCGCTGCCCAGTCTAGGTCTTGTTTACTTGTTTCTGACCGCCGTCACTGCCCACCGAGAGCACTTCTCATCCATATGTACTCAACACTCTTACTCGACCCATTTAGTCCGTTGATACTGTCGCTGTTACGGCACGAGCACTCCACCAGGTTCAACGAACGTGATGGTGTTGTTGTTGAGCATACATGTGGACTACTACGGTCTATCGTGGACTGTGTAGTCTGTGCTAGTTAGCATTGAGTTCTTCAGAGGACTCTCTATGTAGAGGGAACCAGGTCACATTTCTGTCCAAAATCAAATTCACCGAAAACAACCTTTACGAGGCCAGGTTACACGATACAAGGCGAGCTGAGCTTCTGTTCTCCATCATACGAACATACGAGCATACGAGTATGCGGAAAGAGTGGGACACATCAACGCATGTTGGTGGTAGCCTTTGGATTGCGTGAAAGTGGAGAGACGTGGACGCACCGATGTCGTTTGGCCTTGGTTGATGTCCTTTTTTCTTCGTTTTTTTCTTTTTCTTGATTTTTTTCCTGTAGTAGTTTCCTCGGTAGAATACGACATGCAGACATCGGCCGTATCCAATTGGCATCGACTCGATGGTATTCAGGCCAGTCATCTGCACCTTGGTGCACGTCCCTTCCAGCCTCACCGTCCAGCCTCCGTCTCCATCTTCTGACCTCCGCCGTACCGTGCCCTGTGTCTTTTTTTAGATGCAAACCAGTTGCCATCACTCTTCTCTCGTCATGGCCAGTCTTACCATTCATACTCCTCCAGTCATCTTTGATGCCTCTTGACGTATAAGAGTTCCGTGCGTTCCGGCCTCTCGATCTCTTCTGTCCTCGTCTTCCCTCCATCCCCTCGTCATTCGTTCATCTTCCTCCTTTCCCTCCTGACGTGACTGGGAAGACGAATTTCCCCATCTTCATCTTCCTTCGTCTATCCTCCGTTCTCCAAGACACTCGTTTCGTCCTTCGTTCACCTACCTTTACTTGTCATAACCTCTTTATACCTCTTTCTACTTCTCTGACAACACTCAGCATGCGTTGGTCCGCCATCCTCGCGGTCAGCTCGGCCGCTTTCGGCGCGGTTGCTGTCGCCGGCCCGGCCAACCAGGAGTACAACAACTACTACGACGAGCTAGAGAAGCGCGGTGCCGAACATCACCATCACCATCCCCATCCGCCCACCAGCAGTTCAGTGTGGTCTGCTCCTGCCTCATCGTCGTCTTCGGCCTGGTCCGCTCCTTCCTCGTCATCTTCGCCAGCGTGGTCCGCTCCTTCCTCTTCCTCTTCTGCGTCATCGTTCCCTGCTTCGTCCCCTGCTTCGTCCTCTGCAGCTTCCTCCTCTGCAGCTTCGTCCGCAGCTTCTTCGTCCGCGTCGGCCAGCAGTGCCAGCGCGTCGAGCATCTCCAGCGCGGCCAGCAGCGTCTCGAGCGAGGTCTCCAGCAGCTCTGCCAGCTCTGTCAGCTCTGCGTCGTCGGCTTCGTCCGCCTCGTCAACTTCGTCAGCCTCTTCAGCCTCTTCAGCCTCTTCTGTCTCGTCCGTGTCGTCTGCGTCCGTCAGCTCCACGCCCGCGCCCCCTCCAGCGACCACAACCGTGACCAACACGGAGACCATTGAGACCACGGTCAGCTGCGACACCACGACCTACACGTCGGGCGGCCAGACGTACACGGAGACGCACACCACCACGCTCACCATCCCCTGCCACCACTGCACCACCAAGACCTACACGTCCGGTGGCGCGACCTACACAACTGTCATCCGCACGAGCACTGTGACGGAGAGCTGCATCACGTCGACCTATACGTCCAGCGGCCACACGTACACCACGACCATTACCCTCGGTGGTGGTGGCGGTGGCGGTGGTGGTGGTTCTTACACGACGACCACAGCCCACGGTGGTGGTGGTGGTGGTGGTAGTGGTGGCGGCGGCGGCGGCAGCAGGCCCACAACGACCACGGCCTGCGCCTGCTTCACGTCCACCGCATGTGTCATTGTCGGCCAGACCGTCCAGGCCACGGCCGTGGCGGACTGTCTGCTGGTCGGCGTCACGGTTGTCGACGCCACCATCACCGACTCCGTGCTGGTCGACGCCACCGTCAAGGGCGGCTCGGTCCTCCGCGGCGTCCGCTTCACGGGCGGCTCCGTCAAGGACTCGTATGTCCAGCTCGCCCTTCTCCAAAACGTGACCGTCGCCGACAGCGTGCTGTACGAGGTCGGCGTGCAGGGCGCCGAGCTGGTCAATGTGTCCGGCTACGACGTGTACGCCCAGGGCGCCGTGCTCAGCAACGTCACCGTGTCCGGCGTGGGCTACGTGCAGAGGGCGAGCATCGTCCACGGCGGCTCGTACACCAACACCGATCTCAGCGGTGTGTACGTCGGCACGGGCGCCTCGTTGGGCGCCGGGGTGCAGCTTCAGGACTACACGCTGGCGGACGGCGTGGCCATCGCGGCCGACGTCCTGAAGCAGGGCCAGCGGGCGTGATCCGGCTGAGCAGCTCTTTCGTATCACATATCGTGATGGATGGGGGACATCCCCATCTCACCTTTCGTTACTCTTCGTTGGCGATGATGGTTCTTGGCTGGAGGACCTCATCGACCCTTTATTTTCTCACGCTTTCCTCTTGTTCTCTTTCTTTCTCTTTTTATTACTTAATGTTTTTTTTTTCACAACTGCATTTGAGGCGTTTCACAAATTACAAACAAAGCAAAATCATCCAACAACACGCCACAACCACACCACGGAGTACAACAGCACAACACACACTCCAGTGTTCATCGAGTGGCACGCAATGAAATGCGATGGGTCTCGGAATATGAATAGTACACGTCCCTTTCGGATGGATAAAACACGACACTGGCCACACTGCCGACACGACTCCAATTAGGATACGATAACGATTATGAGACTTACAACTAGTTGGATTACACTCCTTTAAATAATAGATATTACTTTTGATTTACCGCACAGCGATTTGATATTGCTTTTTTTTTCGTATTATTTGTAAAATTTCACCACTACTTTTGGCTCTGTATAGTAAATGCAGGAGCGAACGATGCAGTAGCAAACGGAAAAACAAAAGAAATAAAAAGAAAGTGGGCAGTCTTCAAAGATGAGCCACCATAGCCTGTATGTCGCAACGCCAGAAGAACAAGGAAAACATAGAAAAAAGGCAGCAAAATGGTCAACGGCAATATTGACAGCCTGCTCCTAGGCCTGGTCTATGATAACGGACAGAAAAAAATAGATGTAGACGCGCTCTATAATGAAACCGCCAGACATGATGATAATTACAAAGAAGTAGTCAAAAAATTGAGGGGGGTATTTGGTGCAAGGTCATAACAACGACGACAACAAGGGTCAAGACGTCACGAGTTTTGGGCAGGCTTACGCCATGCCGACCTCGATGGCCTTGCCCTTGACCGACTTCCACTCAATGGCGGCGGAGCCGATCAGTGTCATGGCCGCCAGCGCCGTGCTGACGATGAACGTCTGGGTCAAGGCCTCGCTGTAGGCCAGGATGACGCCGGGCAGCTGTGCCGGGTCAATGACCTTTTGGATGCCGGTGGCACCGGCGGCGAGCACGGTGGCGGGGTCGAGGCCGGGCACGAGCCGGAGGACGTTGGCCTGGAGCTTGTTGGTGAAGATGTTTTGGCAGATGGAGACAAAGAGGGCGCCGCCGAGCGTCTGCAGAAAGACAATGACGGAGGTGCCGGTGGGGACATCCTTGAGGTCGAGGACGGTCTGGACGGCCATGAGGGGCTGCTGCATGCCGAGACCGACGCCGGCGCCGGCAATGATCTGGTAGCCGATCCACTTGCCGGTGGAGATGCCGGGGGCAAAGGTGGTGATGAGGCCGTAGCCGATGGGCATGAGGACGGTGCCGGCCAGCATAAAGGGCGTGTAGTAGCCGACAAAGGTGACGACGCCGCCGGCGACAATGGACATGAGCACGAGCGAGATGAGCATGGGCAGGTTCATGAGACCCGAGCTGACAGCCGAGGCGCCGCGGACGGCCTGGAACCAGATGGGCAGGTAGTAGATGGACGCCAGGAACGCCGCGCCTGTGGCGAAGGAGTACCAGCCGGCGGCCCAGACGGAGCGCTTCTTGATGATGCGCGGCGGGACGGTGGCGTCGTCCTGCTGGCGGTACTGCACGAACAAAAAGGCGAGGATCAGCACGCCAAAGACGACAAACAGGGCAATGATGCGGCCGCTCTTCCAGGCGTAGGTGGTGCCGCCCCACTGCAGGGCCAGCAGCAGGCAGATGATGGCGGGCATGAAGATGGCCGAGCCTATGGGGTCAAAGGGCCGGATCTTCTCCCAGAGGGTGCGGTTGGCGCGGGCGTCGGCGGCGGCGGCGGCGTCGGCGGTCGAGACGCGGGCGGCCACGGGCTGGCCGTTCTTGCGGTCGGGGTCGGTGAAGAAGACGCCAATGACGACGAGGGTGATGGCGCCGATGGGCAGGTTGATCAAAAAGCACCAGCGCCAGGTGACCTTGTCGGTGAAGACGCCGCCCAGCAGGGGGCCGGCCACGGAGGCGATGCCGTACATGGAGCCGATCATGCCCGAGTACATGGGGCGCTTGTCGAGGGTGACGGAGTAGGCGAGGATGATGAGGGCACCGGAGAAGATGCCCGAGGAGCCGAGGCCGGCGACGGCACGGCCGATGATGAGGGTGACGGAGTTCTGGGCGACGCCGCAGATGAGGGAGCCGACCTCGAAGACGAAGATGGCGCCGAGGAAGATCCACTTGATGCTGAAGTAGGTGTAGAACTTGCCAAAGAGGAGCTGGAGGGCGGCCGTGGTCAGGAGGTAGGCTGGACTGTTAGCGAGCAGCGAGCGAAGCGAGGACAAAAGAAAGGGAAAAGCGAGCGTAGCGAGGATAAAAAACAAAAAGAAACTTACCCGAACCGTACCAGCCGACGTCGTTGAGCGAGTGGAACTGGTCCGTGATCTTGGGAATGGCCGTGGCGATAATGGAGTTGTCGAGGGCCATGAGGAAGACGGCCAGGCACAGGGCGAGCATGATCAGGCCGAGACGCGCGCCGGTCGGGTACTCGGAGCCGTCTTCGCGGGTGGCCGTCTTGGCGACGGCGAGGCCGCCTTCGGTTTGGGACTTGGACGTCTCGACCTTGCCGAGGGCGTTGGTATTGGCATTGCCGACGTCGTCGGCGTCCGCGGCGGCGCGGATGGCCGCAACATTGACATTCTCCGTCTCCCGGTCCTCGGCGTCGTTGTCAACCTCGTCCTCGTCGGCGCTGCCCGAGCCACTGGTGGTGGGCAGCTTCTCGTCGCGGAGCTCCTTGTCGACGGAGGCGCGGCTGGGGGCGAGGGTAGAGGGCGCGCGGGAGTTGGACGGCGAGACAGCGCCGGCGACTGTGGCGGCCGGCGCGGCCTTGAGCGTATCGGACATGTCGTCTTGTGGTGTCGCGATTCAGTATGTGGTGACTTGGTGAAACGCTGGTTTTCGTTGTCCAACGCTGGCGGTGATGCGCCCAGACTGCGACAGAAAAGGAGAGAGCAACACAGTCGTCGAGTATTGAACGATATTAAATAACAGCGAGGAAAGAAGTGAAGAACTAGTAACAATAAAAGGAACGAACGAGACAGACCAAAAGCACGACACTACGAGGGGATGTGGGTGTGGCCCTTAATAAATAAAAGCAATTGCAACAAAAAAGAAATGAAAACCGATAATTAGGGGCGATCCAAAACGGGGGGCAGCGAAAAAGCGACGGACAACAAAAGAAAAGAGCAAAAAGAAAAGACTCCGTTGCGCTACGACGATCTGGTTGAGTTGCTCCGTCCCGCGTGCCTGGTTGGGGTCCATTGAAGTTCTCTGGAAAGTGTGTATCGGTGCTCCGCGCATATTGCAATCCAAGCCGCCGCTGTCTTTAGTCACTATTCACTAGCAAACACTCATTTGGACTCATAATTACGAAATACGGTCACATCTTGCACGGCGAGAGGGATCCTGGTTCTCTACGTCGGCTTAGGCATCCACTGAACAAAACTGCAAAGTTCGACACGTTCCCTGGAAAAGGGGACCCGACTGGCAAAAATAAGATTTTTAGGACGTGGACGGGGTGGCGGACGGGTGCAGCCAAGCGAGAGAATTCTGGAGCTGTGGAGAAGAAGACAAGGTCAGAATTAGAGGACGAAGGCCAGAAAAAGCACGCTGTCCGGGCAGGCAGCCAAAGGATAGCGGGAAGAGAACTACGTCGGGGCTGGTCGAACGTCGGACAATCAACACTGCCCGTGTGCTTGGATGGAAAATCGGGGAGTTGTAGAAGTCCGTGGACGAGGCGAGGCGCAAGCAGTTCCAGTTAGGCAAATGCGTGACCGCCGCTTTGATTGGATGGGCGGACAGCCGTCAGCCGTCAAAAATCAAAATTATCGCGTTGTTCTGGGACCGGACCAACGAGCTAACAGATACAAGACGAAAAAGAACAAAGGGTGGTCAGAGAGGACCCAGAAAGGACCAGAAGGGACCTAGACAGAAGAAGAAAAGTCGCCGAGAGGGAGGTGCGCGAAACGCTCAAGCCAACAGACCGAAACGGAGACCCGCCGTTTTGGAAATTCACTGCACGGGTTGCGAGTTGCAAACAAAACAAATAACTTATTCTGGCGAGACATGGACACGAAGGACAGAAAGCGATACAAAGACGGGCGCGTTGCCAAGGCCTGGCTGAGAGGAACGGATGCACATTCCTGTCCGTCAGATGGTTATAGTATGAAAGAAAACTAACGAAAATACTGCAGAGTAACAACTACGATGTATCGTGAGAATGAAAAAAACGTAAGCACGGGAAGGCGCCCGTGATCGACCTACGCGAAGGGGGCAAAAGAGGACTAAAATGCGGGTGATATCGTGGAGAACTAGAAGGCCAAGACGGAACGAGAAAGGGACGAGAAAGGGACGAGAAAGGGACGAGAAAAGGACGAAAAACGGAAACTCCAGGGAATGCTGACTACAAGAGAAAAACTTCTTCCAAGCAAAGGCCCGTCAGCATGGGCTATATGTGCGCTACAGGGGGGCTGGGCTGCGCTTGAGCTTTGAGCATTATTTATAAAAGTTCTCTGTTTGCGCCGTGTTTCGTTGCGTGAAGCAGTGTTGTCTGGAAGTGCCATTAAGACCAGCCGGTTCCTCCCGCAACCACTGCTATGCGCGTGCCTTTGCGCCTTGGGTCTGAGGGCGTGTTTCACCGTCTCGAAGCTGCAACTGTCGTCATGTTGACTGGACATGTCAGACATTGTGTAGGTTTTCCGAATCATTGTGTAGGTTTCCCGAATCAAGTATGTTGCCGCAGAGTGCTTTTTACCGGGTCACAGCACGACTGTCAGCCGCCCTGCCCAAACGACGGCTAGATTAGCCGCAGTCCAGCGACAAAACGGGTTCTGGGTGCCGGTTCCGTGGCAGTTCCGACGCCTTGTTATTGCGGCAAAAGATGTCGTTTTTGGCGCACTTCGTCTGCAGTAGGTGCCAAAGTCGGCCTGATTAAGGCCCGGTCCCCGCCCTGACTTGTCAGCAGGCGGATGAAGCACTGTCTGCCAAAATGGCCCATAGGCAGCCTGACCTGCGTGTTGTTCGTCCAAGCTGATATTTCAAGACTCTTGTCTTGTCGTCTATCACTCAGAATAGAACAATGCTACGACAGTCTGACAACGTGATACGAATTGATTCTGCAAACATTTCATCCGCGTTCGACGAAAGATGCATCGTACACGCCGTACTTGACCTGTTTATGGCCGCAACCACCTGTTGGCTCTCTTGTACTCGGAAACTTTTAGAAAACAACATTCATGGCGATGAAAAACCACAACTGCAAACAATTGCCTCAAACGTCGGTGTTCGCTTACACTGCACCCTCCTTACTTCAACGATGCATGTCGCAGGGTCGGCGCCGGCCAATAGGCGTCTTTCAATTTATTTTGGGGTTTGGATTTGGGTTCGGTCTGCTGGTAAAGGGATCCAGACGCCAGATTCCAGTACCTATACGAATTACCCAAAACCCCATTAAACTCCTTTTTATATTTCCCCCTTTCTTGGCTGCCAGCGGGTCCTTCCCCCTTTCCACCACAATCACGCATGTCCACCACGTTCCCTTCCTAACCAGAGATCTGGATTGTAAGTATTTCGCATGTGGCTTTACCGCGTGGCCGGTCCAAGCTCGCTGCGATCAGGACCGAAAAAGTTTGCTTTCAGTTGGATTCGTCGTTCAACGGGCGATCTTGTCGAGATTTGGCGTCTCGATGGCGGCAACGAAGATCCAAACACGATCTAACAGGTCGAGTCGAGCCTCAAGACAGTTCGTACTCGTCGTAAGACCTCTTTCGTACTCCGGAGACTTTTGCTTTCTTTCGTTCGTTTGTGCTTATTTTATTTTCGTCGTTGTGTGCACTCGGGGCCACGGGCTCGTAGCTGGTCCGAATAGGTGCGTGGTAATATGTCAAGGTTGAAGAAATAAGGAGGCGGATACGGTGATAAAAATGGAGCGTGCCAAAAATATCAATCCCAGCATCACAGCATCACAGCGGCTGCAGGCCCGACAAATGCAAAGTGACACGTCCGCACGACCACGGAACGTGTTGCAGTGGCGCTGGGCTGGGCCTTGTTCATTCCAAGGCCCAAGCTCCCACTCTCACACATAATCTTACGACATGCTAGGTACGGCGATTTCTCGTTTTGGCAACCGCCCACTCGCGTACACCGTGCAGCTGCATGGCTGCAAATCTTATCGTTTCTTTTGATCTCCGTTTATGACTACAATGTAGACACTAGATGTGTCCTTTGTATTTTGTATCCTCGTTATTGGCGTCTGCATGAGATACGCGTCCACCTGCCACCGTGAGACGACAGTTTGGACCGGAAAGGGCCGCCGACGATCGACAGCTGGGCAGGTTGCCGCAAGAGTATTTTGTATGGGGGGCGTTGGTTTTCTTTGGCCTCACCCAAGCGAAAGTAAAGTTCTCACCATGCGCCACCGCTGACTGTCAGTGTCACCGGCGTGTCGGATGATCTCCAAACAGTCCCGGCCGCGGACTTTTCCGGCGCTCCCCGTTGTTCTTCGGTTCGGTAACAACTGCTATGGCTGGCGTCGTCCTGTCACAAGGCTGATAACACATTCGATGGAAGCGCCCAAATTGCGTCGTACTAATAAAACGTTTATGATGGACGCCCCCGACTGTCATCATAGATGCGTACGATGTGATTTGGTAAGCGTTTGCACGTGAGAAAGGTAACATAATTCTGTATTTCTTAATATACGGAGTATGTGTTTTATTAGTCTGTATCTTTTTTTTTCTTATTTTTCTCTCTTATTTTTATTTTTCTTCTTTTCCCAATGATATCCCCTACAGGGCCTACTTTCTGGTCTTGGCAAGAATGGATTTGGACGGAGATAATCCTGATCCCTCAAAGGCGACGCTGTGTGTGCAATGACATGTACACCCAGCGACCAATTCTTTTTTGTTTCGTCTTTTGGGCATCCATTCAAGACGAATCAAAATGGTGTCCGGCACAACTTTGTCGCCCTTTGAGCGCCTCCCGCACGTGGTTCTCGACATCATCTGCGGCTACCTCGACGACGAGTCCGACCATCGACCCGACTTGTGCGCGTTTTCTCTCACCAGCCACCGCTGCTGTGCGGCGGCGAAAACTCGACGATTCAACCAACTTGTGCTCGTTGTGCCGAACCTCGACGACCTCGGCGCGATCTTGGCGGACCTCAGAGCTGTGCTGGGCCACGGCGAGCGCTATGCCCTGGTGCATCGATTGAAAGTAGGGGGCGTTCTGCTCGACGGCGACCAACGCGACCAAAGCGAGCAAAACCACGCCGAAGACGATGACAATTTGCAGCTCACCGAGCGCAACTTCGACAGCCCTCCTTTCTGTCACATTGCACAGCCGTGTCGCTGGATGCCGCTCTCGTCTCGTCGCGGCCCTGGCATCCACGACGACGACTGGCTGCCGTTGGCGGCGTTTCTCCGCGAGCTCCCAGCACTGAAGGATCTTGTCTGGAACGGTAGAGTGCCGCGGAGCGTCCTGGACGCACTGCATGACGCGAAACGGCCCTGCCGGCTGCACGTGCTGGGATTTCGTCTCCCGAGCCTTGTGTACGACAGGGAGACTCCTCGCGCCATCAGCCCGGACGATTTCGCCCTCGTGACGTCGCCCGCACTCTACAGCATCCGAGCGCCTCTCTGCCGATACGATGTACACGGCGCCTTGGACTACTCGCCCGAGGTCGTGTTCCTGATGATGCAGGGGCTGGCTCCGAACCTGGCCAATGTCTGGCTCGAAACGGAGGTCCTCGGTGCTGGGCTTTCTCTCAACCAATCCGTTGCACTCGGCCGGCCCGCGTGGCGGGGGTTTTTCTTGGACGGCCCAACAGACGAGGAGACGAAGCTCACAGGCGGCACGGGTTCTCTCCGAAACGTCCTTTGTCAGTACAATGCCGAGCCCAGCATCTTCAACGCGCAGAGCATGGCCAACCTGCGGCGTCTGCAGCTCGACTGGAGCGAGGAGAGGATCCTGGCCCTCGCCAATCTTGTCACGGCCGGAAGCCTCCCACGCCTCGACATGTTGTCGCTCATGTGTATTCACTCGTCGACAGGGCCCCACCAAGCAGCCATCAACCAGATTTTACGCTACACGAAGCCGCTGCGCTACCTGTGTCTGACGGGCCACGTCACCAGAGAGACGATGGAGATTGTGACGCGGCACCACGGCGCCTCGCTGCGCACCCTCTCTCTGCTTCCATATGCCGCTGGGTATTATGTGACACCACCTGGGGCATACGACGTGCGCGACCTGTTTGCCTTTTCACGAGACGCTGTCGAGTTGATGGCGGACCGCTGCCCGCACCTGGAGGAGGTCTACGTCGAGATACAGCGCACGCGTGGTGACCCCCGTGAGGTGGCCATCTACCGCGCCCTCGGAAAGTTGACCCGGCTGGAGCGCGTGTTCCTGCGCCTCCGGTGCTCCCTGCCGACCAACGACGACATGCAGTCGCCCCGGGAACTGGTAACCTACGAGTCGCTCAAGGAGATATTCAGCAACCACGCCATGGACGCGGCGCTCGCGCGGGCCATTTATGACGTCGTTTCGCCGCCTGCGGGCCACGGCCCAGGCCGACGCCGGTTGAACTACCTCCGCATTGAACCGGAGTTTGTGACGGAGGTGCACATTTTCGACACCCTCTTTTACGACGCCATGCATTGTCTCGGGCGGCAGTGGGTGTGCCAGCCAACAAAGGACCAAAACGATCAAAGTAGCAATAACATTGTTGTGCGGGAATTACAAGCGTGGGAGACGCGAGTCGCACGCGAGGAGTGTTTAGAGGCGGACTGGCCCTTCCCGAGGCAGCACATTAACAATTACGAAGCCATGTTCCAGGACCTCTGGCCTGGCGATGGACCGCCGTGGGATTGCTGGACCAGTCTTCCATTGCAGACGGGCGACGAGGTGTCCGAATGACTGACGATGTGGAGTGGGATTTATGTCACCACCGCCGGTCCGAGCTTCAAGGAACGTGTCATTCACTTCACCGGTACACAAGCCATCGAGTCTTAGACAGCATACATGTTAGATATTTATATAATTAATTATCAAAAATCAACTTTCAACTATTTCTGATTTATTTTTTTCAATCTGGGTTGGGCTGATTGGAGCCCATACGTCATGACAAGAATTTGAATCATGTAAACACACGCTACTATTGTCTTTGTACCACTTTGGACTTTGCTCCTTAAAATAGAAAAATAGTTACCATGTATGAGACTGACTTGTTAGTTTAGTGTTATCCGTGTTTATTGTAAAATTATTCATTCACTCAACTCACACAATCTGGTGGCACAATTGATGATTCACTCACGGTGATGGATCAAAATCATAGCGAGAACCCAGGACTCTCCATAATTCGATACAGGCGTGAAAATATATAAATACATTTGTTTTCTTGACTCTTTGTATTACATTACTTTCGCATTTGGTGTGTTCAACGCCGCATAAATTGCATAGCCTACCTCACCGAAAACGACCAATCTGTCAACCGATCCGAAACAGACAAAATGACCGCTCCGTCCAAGCCGCCGCCGCCACCACCGAAGCCCATTGTGCCACTGCCCAACCCAGGCTTAATAGGCAATAATGGGAAGCCAAGGTGCCATTGATTTGTGACGGACGGGGCTGCTCCGGGTGCCGACGATGAAATACCGTGAGCTCTGTACGTGAAATGGCTACTCGTTCTGTATGAACCTGCAAATGGATCGTTTGGTCTGCGAATCGCCGATCTAATGCTCAACGTGGTGTATGAAGATCGCAAGAATAAAAATAATAATAAAAAATAAAGAGCATAAGTTAAAATGGGGAAGCAATTCAAACCGTGTTGTTTTCGCTCCAGGTCAGTGTCCTAATAAAGGAGGGCAGTTAAAGCCCTCGGCGAACCTCCACATTCAATTTTCCACTGCACACAAGTCATGGCTCACACATACAACTTACAGGGGAATGCCCTGCCTAGGCCTGGCCTAGCTACAGTTTCCCCCACTACAGTCATTGAATACCCCCCCCCCCCCCCGCGGCCTTATTTGGTTTGTTTACTGAATGCCTTCTTGAGTCAACGCAGTCAATGTTCGACAACTTGACTTTCAGCAGCATACGAAGACGCAAAGAGCATAGCTGTCCCGATGCCGATGAATGAATGCAGCAACAGGCAAAAAAGGACTGCTGCTGTAAATGCAGTGTGCAACCGAAACCAAGGCGCGGTACATGTCGACAGAAACGCTGACCAGATCAAGGCCTTGGTCGCGGCATGAGGTACGGAGCATTATGGGTCGTAACCTCGGCTGCTGGGCACGCCGAACATACGGCCGTGTTTGGCACTGGCTTCAACGCCCACATACAGCTGGGCCCCGGCGCCGACGCTGACCAGGAAGTGGCCCTCTTTGCATATCTCAAGGCCAAGGCCCGAGGGACCGGATCTAGATCTGAGCCAGCGCTGGTAGGCAGTTGTCTACGGTGGCTGGGCCCAGACGCCGCCGTTGGTCCGCGGCGTCAAGTGAAGATATGTAGATGGATTTATCGGCTGCTTTACGACGGTATGTGAAGATGTACGAGAACTAAGACGCACATTAATGCAAGTGGGTACTGGGCATGTCTGGCTTGGGCATAGTTGCCTGTCAACAATAAATTATGACGCAATGGGGTACTCAAAGAGACGTCTTTCTTTGTGGTGAAGACCCCCTTGCCTTGATTGTTGTGACATAGGTTTTGTATATATTTTTGGAAGATCTTTGATGGCCGTTTTTCATAGTTCACCTTGCTGTCGTGTCAGGGAGATGAGCAACGCTTTCACCCGACTTATGAATAGTCACAACAACGCGCGGCTCGGTACGGTTTTAGGGCCCGACCCTTGGGGGCTGACGGAATTGGTTACATGTAGAAGCGCACTGCGTGCTACTCTTTTGACAGAGGTCTAAAATGGGAACGGGATATCAAGAAACGACGACACTGTGGCCACATGTCCATGGCATTTGAGATGTAAATATGAGCTGATTGTCCACGTCCATATTCGGAAATAGACATCAAACCTGTGCCTGTTATGATCAATGAATTCTATTTCGAGGCGTATTTGCTATGTAAAGCTCCGACTGACTGTAAAACAAGAATGAAATCAGTGACCGTAGATTCCGTGTATAAGATACTGTATCATTCCATCGTCGATGATGTGTTTTGGTCCTATCCACACACATCAACTTCTCCCACCACATCTCAAAACCGATCCAGCAGTACGACATCTGATAGTGAAACGCCTTCTGATAAATACCTTTATCAACCACCCACCAAACAATGGCCGGCGTTGTGAGCTATGTAGCTCTGTACGGCAGTTGCGTCATGAACGAGGGCGACGATGAGGGCGGTGAATGCCGCCTCTGTAATGGAGAAAAAATAATAGAGTGTTCTCGTTGTGATGGATCAGGGGAAGATCGTGAAGACCCCAACCGCCGTTGTGATGCCTGTGATGGCAAAACGACCGTTCAATGTCACGCATGCGCGGCAGCGGAAAAACCAAATGATGGATGACGCATCTTGCCATTGTCTAGTCAACATTACCACGGTCTCGCAATGGTGGCAGGACTCCAACCCACCCACCAAACACAGTCGACATAAAAAACGGCATCAAAATTTTGTAAGTGAAGTCTATGAGTTGTTTTTGTCTATTATTGACCCCAGGGACCTAATTAATTTTTCAGAGATAGAACTATACCAGCAAGGATGAACCGACTCTTGGCAGTGGAAGGAAATTAGGGCATATTTTATTCTTCACTCGTTCTTTTTGGTTTCGATTTAAATATTTACAAAATACATAAAAAATACAGAGTCATCATCCTCATATATTGTTCATTGTAAAACGGAAAGTTGAAATAGATGCATCAAAGGAGTCTTTCATGGAAAATGCTATGGAAGTGCTTCTTGCAAAGTCTCCTACTCTCCACAAGCTGAATGAGCTCCCATTTGCTGGGCACAGCCGCAACGGAACGGTCCCTAACAATGCACCACCACTCGTAGCCACAAACTTCCCCTCGTCAAGGGTAGCCGCCCGAGATCTCATCTTGCGCGCATTTTTTTCTCTCGGCAGGTCACAACATTAATCGCCAGCGGAATTAGGCATACGGTGCATTGTCGCACTTGCATCCAAAGGCGGGATTTGCCTTCTCTCTCCCAGGGCGGCGAAGCGGCGATTGTGAAATGTTCCACAAGAAGTGGAGGTCTCAAACCAACAAAACACACTTGACATGCCATCTTCCAAAAACGACGACCGCCACGAGCCAGGTCCCGCGCATCAGTTCAAGCCTGCGGACGCAAATGCAAACTCGGACGATAAGACCGTGGAACCTTTAGGATTTCGCAGGAAGGTTCAAGGTTGGTGGCGGGACCGTAAGGGCGGCGAGCGGGGACAGCGGGACCGGCCCGAACACCACGGTTGGTTAGCTCGGCCGGAAGCCGATGCCGCACCCGCTGTCTCCACTTTACCCGTCAACGGCAACAAAGACAAGTTGACCTTAGCTGTTCATCACGAGGAACTGCTCGCTACACCCGCGACCCAAGTCGCCGAAACGAACTGCCGATCAGATTCGCTTTGGGATCGCGCATACGAAGCCCTCAAAAAAGACAAGCAACAACTGGTCAGGGAGTATGAGAAGCTTCTCGCAAAGGAGGTACAGACAGCGAGTACGTTTCACCACATACGTTGGGAGTCTCCGTGTGTCGTAAAAAATTGACTTATCGATGTGTACAGATCTTGCGTCGGAAGCTGCCCTACAAGACAGTTCGCGTTCTCTGCGACAAGCCCAACTGACCACCGTTATTGATGGAGGCCTAAAGCGCATGGACGAGAAGACTACGAAATACACGATTGCCGGTCATGACTTTGTCCTCAAAGAGCAGATTGCCCAGGCCTCCAAGTTCTTGCTGTGGGCCAAAGACTGGGTGGGCGAGGCCGTCCAGGCATCACCGCAGGCATCTATTGCGTGGGCGGCCGTCTGCCTCGTTCTCCCGCTCCTCACAAACCCCACAACAGCTGCAGAGGCCAACCAGCACGGACTCAAGACAGTCACCGCCCGTATGCGGTACTATGTGGAGTTGGAGCCTGTGGTACACCGTCTGGCTGCCAACGGACGGGGCGATGTTGATATGCGTGGGTTAATGGAGCAGGTGGACAGCAACATCGTCGATCTGTACCGGCAGATTCTCGAGTTCCAAATCAGCAGCGTGCTGCGGTTCTACGCCAACCACCTCAAGACCTACGCCAAAGACATGGTTCTGCCCGAAGACTGGACGCAGATGACGCTTGACATCGAGGCGCGCGGCGAGACGATCCGCAAAGACGTGAGCCAGATCGCGGAATTGGTGGGACACCAGGACGCAGAAGCGACACAAAGCGTGCTTGCCGCACTCAGCGAGACAAGTCGACAGGCCCTCGACGTGATGGGCTCGCTTCTGTCGGAGCAACTCTCTGTCTTGCAGCAGCAGCTGCAGCTCGAGAAGGACATCCGGGAGGATGCCGTGCGCCAACGGCTGTCGGACGAGCAGATCGCGTGCCGTGAGCTGTTTTGCCTCACCAACGCCGACGATGCGACGTACGAGTGGTACAAGGACCGCGTGGAGGACCTGGTCGAGGGCACGTGTCAGTGGGTCCTCCAGCACGAGCACTTCCAACAGTGGCTGGCGCAAGACTCCGGCCCGCTGCTCGTCTCGGCCGATCCCGGGTGCGGCAAGTCGGTGCTGGCCAAGTATTTGATTGACCAGGGGCTGGCAGAGCAATTGCAGAAGGTGCAGTCCCCGAACGCCACGAACAGCACAATCTGCTACTACTTCTTCAAAGACCAAGACCAGAACACGTCCCGCCAGGCCCTCTGTGCTCTGCTGTACCAGCTCTTCTCCCGGAAGCCACATCTTCTGCAGCATGCTATACCGTTGTACAGAGAGCACGGCCATCATTTGAACAAGTTTGAGAACGATCTCTGGGCGATCCTGGGACACGCGGTGCGCGACCCAGACGCCGGGCCGGTCATTGTCGTTCTCGATGCGTTGGATGAATGTGCCGCGTCCCAGTTCAACGGCTTGATGCGGAATTTGGAGACTCTGCTACGCGATGCCCAGTCGTCCCATGCCTAGTTCAAGATGCTTTTGACCAGCCGCCCCTACGACCAGATTGTCGACGAATTTTGGAGCCTGTCGGACGCGTTCCCGCACATTCGCATCCCGGGCGAGGAGGCGTCGGAAACCATCAGCCACGAGGTCAACCGCGTCATCCACTACCGTGTCGAGCAGCTGGCTAAAAAGAAGCAGCTGTCCCACGATGTCAAGTCGGCGCTGGAGACGAGGTTGCTCAGCGTCGAGCACCGCACCTATCTTTGGGTGTATCTTGCCTTTGACAGCCTCGAGGTCGGGTTCAAGAGGACGTCGCGCGGCGTCGTCGCTGCGCTGCAGGAGCTGCCCGAGAGCGTCAACCAGGCCTACGAACAGATTCTCAACAAATCCAAGGACGGCCCAATGGTGAGAAAGGCCTTGAGCGTCATCCTGGCCGCGGTCCGACCCTTGACGCTCGCCGAAATGAACGTTGCCATGAACACCACCGGCCAGGAGACGGCGCTCGCCGACTTGGAGCTGGAGACCGAAGCGGACTTTCAATCACGTCTCCGCGATTGGTGTGGCCTGTTTGTCTCCATTCACCATGACCGCGTGTATTTCCTCCACCAAACCGCCCGGGAGTTTCTCCTGTCCGTATCGTCGTCTGTACCTGCACCGACCGTGCCGGGGCTACAATGGCAGCATTCAATCACCACGAGCCAGGCACACATGGTACTTGCCAAGATTTGCCTGCAGTTTATAAACATTTTCAACTTTGTAGAGCACCAAACGTCAGAATTTATTCCGGCCCGCATCACTTTCTTTTCTTACGCGGCGGAGAACTGGCCGGGCCACTTCCGCAATGCCGATGCCGCCGACGATGCGGCCATAGTGCTGCTCGCTGCGGCTGTTTGTGGTGAAAAATCAAGGAGCCGTACGATCTGGACCGAAATCTTTGATCCGTTCGCGGACAGGTTTGGCCTTGGTTTGGCGACTGATACGGTCAGTGGCATTCTATTAGCATCGCAGTTGGGGCATCCTTCGGTTGTACAGCTGTTTATCGAGCAGGGAGGCGACGTGAACGCCTGGGACCAATATGGGCGAACGCCGCTATTGTTGGCGGCCAGGTCTGGGCACGTGGACATGATCCGTTTCCTACTTGAGAAGGGCGCCGACATCGATGAGCAAGACACAACCACAACGTTTACGCCATTAATGGGAGCGATTTTGTGTGGGTTCGAGGAGGCGGTGCGGCTGTTGCTCCAGAGAGAGGGGCCGACACCTACGTGGAAGACGAGGACGGCCACACGGCGCTGTTTTGGGCCACAATGGCGGAGCTTGATGATATCGCGCAGCAATTACTGGAGAAAGGTGCCACCATCAGCGAGAAAGATAAGGAAAACCACCCGTGGATCGCTGTCGTCGAAAAGTGACTCGAGGACATGGTTCATAATCGAGATGATGGTGGTTAGAGTCCATCATCCGCCGTTACGGCAATGAAGTCCATTGCCTGGTGATGTAGTATATGGAAATGTTATGTTTATCTTCAGACGATATGCGTTTATGTGTAAAATCAAATTACAAACGACACACGCCTGAGAGACAACAACGTACGCCAAGTAGGAATAGTCTTACCGGTGAATCGCACCCTCGTCATGTTCATTACCGAGAACCGGGTCACAGGAAGACGGCTGCCGAGCTGACGCACAGTTTTGTACAGTCTTTACCGACTGCATCAACAATGCCAGCCGCATCGTGGCCTCGTGGCCTCGTGGTCCCCTCGTTGTTTTGTCTCGTACAACACATTATAAAAGCACGCTAACATCGATGGTCGGCATACATACGCTGCCTATGTCAACTTTGTCGATGTCGTTTTGGGCCCGCAAAAGCTTGCGCAGAGTCAAGCAATGCCATCCAGCACCATCGGGAGTCAATAGCCACGCCGCAGGCTTGTTTTCTCACTTGCTGTGGTGTGGGCAATTTGGACAATTCTGGGCACGTCTTGGAAGGTCTCGGCATGTCTGGGCAAGGCTGGGCAAGACTGGGCATCGACTGGGGTAAGTCAACTCCGCCCGTCCACTTCCATTCTTCTTTCCTCCATGTTGGGTAGGTGTTGCGTCGGAGCGTTCAGGAGGTACATTGACGGCCAAATTGGTTCTGGAGTTGAGGAATTTGTGGTTCATGTGTGTAGTTGAGCAACACTCCCGAGTACTCCGTACGCCGTACACATCCACTGCGTCGGTGCCCTTTACCCGATTCTTTGCAGGTATATATGAGATTGGCATTCTTTCGTTGACCATTTTCTCCTTTTGCACGTCCAGTGCCCCGAACTCCAGGGACTGCGCAAGAGACGAGCCGCACAATCATGACGACGGATCCTGCGCAGGTCGAAACGGGTGAAATGGGCGAGAAGGCCGCGGGCCACGACATCAACATCGACATGGACAAGAGCAAGATTGCATTGCCCGACGGCGACCACGAGGCACCGGCCGCTCGCGGTGTCCAGTTCGACGACATCCCGGCCAAGTACTGGCTGTCCTACCGCTTCCTGGGCTCTGCCTTTAGTGTCGTCCTTCTCGCGTCGTCGCTCTTTACAAACTTTAACTTGCCGGTACGTTGTCGACGCTCCTTTTTCCTTCGTTTTCGTGTTCGCTATCTAAGTCGCACTCCCTCTAGGCCAGCGCGCTTACCGTCATCAACGAGGACCTCGGCCACTCGCCGGCCTACATTTGGATCAGCCATGCCAGCACGGTCGTGAGCTGCGTCGGCGTGCTCGTCATGGGCCGCCTCAGCGACATCCTGGGCCGCCGCCACTTCTTGCTCGGCGGCCAGGTGTTTGGCGTCGTGGGGTCGGCCGTGTGCGCCACTGCCTCGTCCATCCACGTGCTCGTGGCCGGCGCCACCCTCTACGGCGTCGCCACGACGACGCAGCTGTCGTTCCCCTTTCTCATCCACGAGCTGGTGCCGAACAAGCACCGTGGCGTCGCGCAGGCGTGCATTACCGTCTTGACACTGCCGTTTGCCGGCTTTGGGTCGGTCATTGCCCGCCACTTGATCCAGCACAGCGCCTGGGGCTGGCGCTGGGTGTACATGATCAACGTCGTCTTCAACGCGACCACGCTCCTCCTCCTGGCCGTCTGCTACTTCCCGCCGGCCTTGACGCATCTGCACACAAACTGGACCTGGAAGACGGAGCTCCGCAAGCTCGACTACGGTGGCATCTTCATCTTCACCGGCCTGTGCGTCCTCATCCTGCTGGGTCTGAACTGGGGCGGCAGCACGTACCCGTGGTCCGACGCCCATGTTTTGGGGCCTCTGGTCGTTGGCTGCGTGTTGATTATTGTCTTTGCCCTCTATGGTAGGTTGCGTATAAAACAAACGGTACGAACATATCAAAGATGGTGGGCATTTGGAACTAACACCCCCGTATAAGAAACGTATATGCCCCTGGAACAGCCAATCCTGCCCATCAAGCTCTTGAAGAACCGCAACTACCTCGCCATGGTGGGTGTCGCTTGTGTCGGGCAGATGGCCTACTTTGCTCTGGCGATCCTCTGGCCTCAGCAAATCCAATACACGTTTACGACGGACAATATCAAAATCGGTTGGATGTCGGTACGTAGCCGTCCATTCCATGATCTACTTTACACCGACTCTTTGCTTCTCACTGACCATTGCAGCTCACATCTGGCTTGGGCTTGATTGTCGGCATGGCCTTCTTTGGTATCCTGTTGAGATTCTTTGGAAACACGAGGCTGCAGCTCCTCATCTCGACGTCGGTGTTGTTCGCGTTTCTTGCTGCCCTTGGTGGCACCACCCACAAAGGCGAAAACTACGCCCTTGCGGTACGGAGAAGGTTGTCCTGTAATGTTTTGTTCCGACCTCTGGTGACATTCTAACATCTACCTCCTTTGCCAGTTTACAACCATGGCCGCATTTTTCGCCGGTTGGATGGACATCATCGCCGCCGTCGCCAACGGCCTTGTTACAGAGCCTGGCGACCTCGGCTTGGCCAACGGCTTTCTCGGGTCCATGAAGCAGCTGATTGGCACCGTCGCGAGTAGGTCGCTCTTGGCCCCCATTTTCTTGACCTCTCTTTTTGCTTCCTGCTAACGGTCTCTCCCCACAGCGAGCGTTTACGTGGCCATATTGTCCAACCGCCAGGCCGCCAACTTGCCCAGGGCCGTGACGGAAGCAGCTCTCGGCGCCGGTCTGCCCGCGAGCTCCCTGGAGGCCACCTTGGCCGCCGTCGCCAACGGCACCATCCCTGCATTGGAAGCCGTGCCCGGCATGAACGCTGCCATTGAGGACGCGGTTGCCGGCGGCATCAGGACTGCCTGGGCCGACACCTTTTCCACCGTGTACTATGCCTCGCTGGCGTTTTCCGGGCTCGGCATCATCGCGGCCTACTTCAGCACCGACATTGACGCCCTGCTGAACAATTATGTCAACCGCCGCATCACGGGCACAGAAGGCATGAACGTGCCGGAGGAGCGTACCATTAAGAATACCCATGTGCTGGAGGACGAGTGATTGATTAATGGGAGGTGTGCTCTATCAAAATTGGAACAAAATACACTGCAATGCAACAATACAATAATTCAGAGGGCGATGAGTTCAACAACTGACAGAATGGCAGATCGATGGGAACTGGCCCTTGTACAATATGTAGAGTTTGCGTTTTGAGGTAACCAACGACATTTGAAACATAATACAAGCCGTTGGGACTCGTGGCGAATTTACGAATGTTGTCCTTGGACGTTGTCCATGTTATGTCGTGGGCGACAGGAAAAGTCATTTGATATATCACGTGAAGTATATTTTGACTCGTAAGGCGTTGACAGGATTTTCTGTGCAATGGACGTCTTGCAAACACACCGAATCCGCCCTCACTTTGGCCGACTGCCGGCCACACGCGGCCCTGTTGTGCATCCGGCGGTCTGCTTGGCGGCTCTTGCCTCAAGAATGCTAGCAGCGACAAGGCGCCCGTCTAAAGATCGTTCGTATCGATATAGCGATATAGCGATACGCGATACAGCGAAAGGAACTCCACGGAATGGGCGGCTGCCAGGTTGAGCACTGGGCACGCACCGGTGCGTTTCTGCCCAAGGTCGACGGCGACGCGTCCAATGAGGCGCCGCCCAAGACGACGGAAGACAAGTTTGACTTTGCCTACCACCATGGCGTGGAAGAGGTCGGTTCGGACTTGTCCTCTCTGCCGACCGAGCTGATAGGCGCCGAAGGCGATCCATTGATCCCCACGCTGGCCGCCATCGACCGCGTGTTTCACGAGGCCCGTGCAACGTGGCAGCATTTTGTCTGCGAAGCCGACGCGTTGCCACCGGGCACGGTCCCGCGCCATCTCAACGACCCGTACATCTTGCTACAAGACGTGCCGCCTTTGCCCAGGCAGATGCCGTCTGCATTGCTCTTGGCCGGCCAGCCGATGTGGTACATGTCGGATCCCTTACACGACCGGGGCGCAGCAAAAGACGCAAAAGACGCAAAAGACGCAGAAGACGCAAAAGGCATACACGGCACGAACGACCGGGGCCATGCTTTGGACCTGCAAACTGTGGCAGGCCGGCGCGAAGAAGTTATCCTGTGGTACAAAAGGACCATTGCAATCGGTACGTTGCCTACACCGGCCCGCCCGTCGGATATCGATGCAGACGCACATGCACATACACCGGCTACACCGTCACGCGGCCATCTGATCCTTACACTCGGCTGGGCGTACATCTTGTCGGTGCGTCTCCTTGAAATCCAGCGCCGGACGGTCGTGTATACGCCTGAGGCGCTGCAGCCACAGAGTGCGAACAACGCGGCGCGCTTGCGACAGCAGGGCCGGCTGGTCCTCAACCTCACGGGCGACGGCGTCTCGTCACAGCTGGTTCGATGGTTGTGTGCACTTTTGTCGCCACAGCCTGGTTGGCGCGCCAGAGGCGCTCGTATGGTGCCGCCGTGGGCGTCGTTGTGGGCGGGGGATGCCGTCTTCGCCGTGGTCGCCAGCGACGGCATCCAAGAGACCGCGCCACCGTCGTCGGCCGGTGCTTCGATCCTCCTTGCTGAGTTTTGTGCTCTCTATGGGCTGGACGCTGTGGATGAGGCCAACGATACGGTGACAGTTTCGCCCATGACCGCGTCATTCATGGCTGCACTCACACTGCCTTTGTATCGACTCTACGGCTTGCAGCCACAGTTTCCATTGCCACATCTGCGGAGGCGTAAGAACTACCGATACAACCGAGACGAGGGGTCGGTGCCGTGCTTGCCAAGCATCCAACGGTACGTCGCCGACTTGAACTATTTCATGACGCTCAGTACCAGCCCGCGGTCGGTCGCCTCCATCGTCTGGAGCGTCTTTTGGCAGCCCGACGTCGATGCCCACCTGGTTAGTCCCTGGCTGGCCGGCACGCTGGATGCCCTGCGCCCCGTTCTGGCATCACGCAGCGCCTTGAAGCTCGTGCAGGTCTTTGCTCTGCGTAGGCCGCGCGTGGCTCTTTGGTGGTTCGGCATGAGCATGCTGGGCAACTCGCACATGCTCGACTGGGTAGAGCGGTACCTGGAGAGGCTGGAGGAGCAGGAAGGATGTGGTTCGCTGGCCACGCCCGATCTCACTGGGTTCGCCTGGTCCGGCGTCCCGCACGCCTTTTCCCACGCTCCGCCACCGGACCCCTACGAAGACACAGACACGGCTAAAGGCGATGGGGCGTCGTCGCAGCTGATTGCGCGAAGTGACCTTTTGTGGCACCGGATGAATTTCAACCTCCAAGATAGAGCCTCGATCCCACTCGCGTGGCGTCCCTTTGGACACGTTCGTAAAGCATGCATCGAACCGGACATTTGGCCTTGGATCGAACACGGCTGCCAACGCCAGTACGTCGCATGGGTATGGTGGATCAAGGAAAATAATAGCGTCACGCGCAGCGAGCAGCGCGGCTTCCAGGCCAACACAGGCCGCACCGTCAAGGACGTGCCGGATCACCTTGACATGTGTATACAGGAGAGCCGTACCATAACAACACGGTCAATAAAAGCAGTCGTTACGCTTGAGCCGTCCTTGGAAGCAACGCGGCGCATGGTCAGCTTTTGCATGGTCGACATGCGCGGCGAGCAAGACTTGAGCTTGGCGCTTTTCAATGGAATTCAGTCACATACGTGGATACGCGGATGGGGAGGCTTTGACTAAAGTATGTAAATTGCAAGAACTGATATGCTGACAAAAGATGACTCGTTCTCAGGCGGCCGATACCCTGGATGATCCACTTCGCTCGTGTGGTTGCAGCAGGGTAGCGGCCCGAGCCTTGGCCGGATAAAAGTCGGCGCAATGGCATGGCAAAAAGCAGATGCGGTAGCCAAGTGTATCGCTACCGGTGCCGTGGGAGTTGGTCTAACAGATGATGATTCGTTTCTTGCACTTCTTACACTTCGAGTCCCGCGCACTGGTGTGACTGTTCATAAAATGGCCACAGTGCATGTAAAATCCCTTTTCCCCAGACGAGGTTGTCATCTTAAACGATTGTAAGTCAAAAGTATAGAAAAAAAGTACAATGTTATGTGTTGTGTGTTAACAGGCAGAAGAAAAGAATAGATCCACGAGGCCATGCTGAAAAGCCACGGAAAGATAGCAACCTTTATACAGTGCCTTTCGACGTTGTTTCCAGCTTACTCGGAAAACAAATTAAAGAGCCTCACGCAACAGAACCGGAAGATGCAAACAGTAGCCAGCAGTGCCCGAAAGTACAAGATTGGGAGAAGAGCATGCGACGATGTATTGGCTGATATTGCTCAAATGTGCCTGAGGAAATCGGCACAATGTTACTGTGATAGGCAGCCAGACCCTAAGAAAGCTTCTGATGAGTGACAACAGACTTCTGTACATCCTCAAATGTTGCATGCAGTTAAAGTTGTCCCGCGCGTGAATTTGAAAATGACAATCCTGTCCATAGCCGCACGCCTTGGACTCCCATCCAAGTCATTTAAATATGCACTTTTTGCGAATTTTGCGCATATTGTCTACATGCACATTGAGTGGCACAAAACCGGCCAACCAAACTGCAGTTATGCAATAAAAAATAAAATCCCGTAAACATGGGACTGAGGAAAAAATGAAAGACTACAAGTTGGCGGTGAGCCTTGCAAGGCAGACTCAGCTGAGGGAAAAGCACATTGGGGGCCAAAAGAAGCCCCGCCCGACCAAGGCGACTCACGTCCTTCGAGGACATCCTTTCTGTCGTCGTAATCAAATGTTTTCTTCTCCCCTGCTATCACTCGCATGTTGAAAGAGTTCTAACCAACCGTATCAGCAATTCATTTGGCCATGGATCCCTTCAGCACCGCGGCGGCCGTCCTTCCATTCGCTATTCTCTTTCTCCAGAGTATCAAACTCAGCTGTGGCGTCTTCTCGACGTACAAAGACGCAAAAGAACAGGTCAACCGCCTTCTCAAGCAAATCGAGAGCCTACTCTCTACGCTGGAGAGGCTTTTGAGGTCCCGCGCCATAAGTGATCAGAGAGATGGAGCTCTCGCAACGAAGATCATAGCATGCGCGGATGACATTGAAGCCTACGACAAAATGCTGAAGGCGATGGCAGTGGGCGGTGCGGAGAAACTGTTCGAGAGGCAAAAGAAGAAGCTCAAGGCTTCCTTCAAAGTCGAAGATTTGGAAAAAATGAGTGCCGTCATGGCTGAGCACACAGGAGCATTGAGCCTTCACCTGAACGCCATTGAAAGGTACGTCTTTTCTCAAACCGGGGCGATAAAATGGAGAGATCAACTCCGCTGATGCAGTCTATGTGCTACAGCGATATGCTGTTCGAGGTGCGGGATCAGCTTGCTATCGTGGAACGAGAAGGGCGCACAATACAGCAGGCCATCGCAGAAAGCCGAGCTGCCGTTATTGAGCACCACACGACCATGGCGGTAACGGTTCGTGACACAGTGACGACAACCCTTCACGATACAATGGCGCAAGTAACAGACGAGACGCGCAGTAATGGACAGGCAATTCGCGCTGCTTTGTTGGATTTGGGATCAAAAGCCCAAGGCGATCAGATGATTGGCATGCTCAACCAGATGCTGGAGCAACTCTCTCGTTTGTCTGTCGAGCGCGACAATGGTGCGCGTGTCGAGGAACTCCGAGACGAACAGGACAACCAGCAATCTGACGACGTCCAAGGAAATGACGAAGCCCAAAAGGACATGCAGTCAATTGACGATATGCCCGCCGAGGACGTCCTGCCGTGTGCCATGCTAAAGGATAGCATAAATTCAATCTTGACGGCTCTTCACAACAAGCAAGGCGTCTTTTCTCTCGACGAAGCCGCAGACATTGACGATGCCCTGCTTGCTCTTCTCCAAACCATGGCGTCTGACGCATTTCTCGCGTCGGCTGCGACGTCCGTGTCGACATATCAGCAGATGTGCGAGACATGCACCAAGCGTGACCTTGCCCGGTTGCGAGAGAACTTGAAAACAGTCCAGGGAATCACTCTCTCCTCACAGAAAATTTCCGTCAATGAAAAAGGTGAATGATTTTCTACCATCAATGATGTCAAAGTGTCTAATGTAAAAGTATGTTTGTTAACGAACGGTTAGGAAAATCAACACACAGGGCAGGAGCTGTCACCAGTGTTCATATGAGGATGCGAACATGCAATCTCTCCCTCGGCAGTGTATCGATCTTGTCGCTTGAGAGATCACGGCAAAAACAACAGAGACAACAAAGACAACGGAGACAGCGAAAGAAACAAAGACGGCGAACGTCTCTGCCGCCCAACGCCCCAACCCCATCTGAGCTCGTGGATGTCGCCGACAGGGACACCGAGACCCGAATCTGCTTCATTCCCCGATCCGAACTGCCTCGAACGGGGTTTCAAGTAATCATGCGACAGTACAGCGACGACCGAGGAAACTTCAGTACCATACCCAGGCTTTTCGTCAAAAATACTCTTCCTTGTAGCTCCCGTGTCTTTTCTCTTGTACAACAAGGCCGCATGGCAGAATTTCAAGAGATGTTGCGTCTGGGAACAGCCTCACTTAGGGACCAGGACGAATTTGGCGCTTCTCTTTTATTTGTGAGTGATTGAAAACGATACCAACGTATGTCATTCGTACTGACTAGATCAAGTATGCAAACCGCCAGCCAGAAATGTGTCGCTTTTTACTCCAACATGGAGCAGACATAGATCATGTTGCCAGCAGAATGGGGCCGTCAGGTTTTCAATGGGACTATTCAGGAACAGCACTACTGACAGACTACAATGAGGATGAATTGGGAGATGACATGTTAGGACCGATTCTAGCATGTCGAAAATTGCTTCTACAGGCTGGTTGTGATCCCACGATTCCAGTGGTCGACGAGGAAGGACAACCCGAGCAAAATATCGTCGCTGAAGTATTGGAACTAGGCGATCCGGTAAATCAATCCTATACATTCAGCCAGACTGCATCGTAACCAGCGCTAACAGCACGATTTAGGAATCGATGAAGATTCTCTTGGACAATTCTGATGGCTTCTTCACAATAGAGAGCGATGTTGGCACGCGAGACTGCCATTTCACACCCTTACTCGCGCACTGTTATTCCGGGCATTTCAGCTTTGAAGGCCTGTCGCTCCTTGTAGACAGAGGTGCTAAAATTTCCGCTCGCGATTCGTTGGGTAGAACATGTCTACATATATGCTTTGGAAGGCCCTGGTATCGCAATAGACGATATATGCAGCGAGCGCAGTCTGGCCTGGCGTATCTTCTTGACCTCGGTGCGAATCCCTTCGCCAATGATGACATGGGCGTGTCCGTTTCCGAAGCGGCCTATTTGGACACGGATTATGGAACCAGTCGTATGGGAGACGTGTGGGATGCTGTACTGGCGGATTTTGGGTTCGGCGTTGCCGATTTTCGCCGGGAACACCCCCGTGTGGCTCGCTACTGCTGGTTTTATACCAGGCGCGACTTTGAAAAACTTTGGGTTGGGCAAGAACATCTCTGCCCGTATTATAACGACGACGAGGAGATTTGGATCACCCTGAAAGGATCTGGGCACGATACAGAAAGTGCATCCGATGAATCGTCGGATTCAGACGACGGTGGAGCAAGCATGCTATAACGCCTTTCGGATTTGGGGTATTTCTGATGTTTGGGGTCATTGTACGCTCTACATTTCCATGCTCTTCATGTGAGCATCAGCCTTCTTTTTCAACGTTCACTCCGCCTGGATAAGTCTGGAGTTGCTTTTGGTTCTCACGTATGGAATTGGTTGTTGGGTCTATAATTTTATACTTCCTGTAGCACATAGACAACAATAAGAATAACAGTCCAACGCTTAATTACGTGGGTACTACAGTTCAACAGCTATTCGACATTATGGATCTCCAATTCTCTTTTCCACCAAAACAACGACACCAGAGACAAAAACAGGCCGGGCAGAGAGGACCCTCGGCCTTTACATAATCTGGTAATTGACACTGTCACGTGAAAGCAGACAAATTTTGAACCATAATCAATTTGGAATCAGGCTGGTTGTTCATCCAAGGGTATGCCACTCTCGCATATGGAGCTACCCATAATTGAGATATTGAAATGAGTTTGGAATCATTCCTCAATATCCCCAACCCAAATACGCCTCTCAACCCTATTCTCTTTAGAGGTTGACCAGCTAATATAAAAGCCCTGTACAATCCATGACATTTAATTTTTCATAAGTAGTCATGCAGCAACAAAAGTCAGTATTGACTATTCAGCTTTAGTTATACATTTTACCTACATCCTAAACTTGCTTCACGTCCGCCCCTTTCTTGCGAGACCCAACGCATCCAACATCCAACATGGGAGTTTTCAAAGCAACAGGATTTGAAAAGGAGTGTGACAAGGCAGCCCGGATACTGCATGATTTTCTTGGTAGGTACTCTTCTGCTTTCAAGCGACTTCTTCCTCATCCTGTAACTAACCCATGCGGACGGTAGACAAAGGCAAGATACCCGCAGACGTTATCGCAAATGCAAAGGGCCTAGCTATTTTCACAGGCTTTCGGGCCGCCATGTACCTCGCCGGTTCCGGGGGCTCGGGTATCGTTCTTGCGCGTCTTTCAGACGGGACCTGGTCGCCTCCGTCTGCATTTTCGGTGCGGTCCGGCGGCGTCGGTCTCGCGTACGGCGTGGATGTATACGACTGCGTGTGTGTGCTAAACACACAAGCCGCCGTCGACGCGTACACAAAACCGGAAATGTCTTTTGGTGGCGTGGTCGCGCTCGCCGCTGGACCCATTGGTGGCACAGCAGACATGAAGGACATCAAGCCGGTCTGGACATACACGAAGTCACGGGGCCTCTACGGTGGCCTGACACTGGACGGCACTGTGATCAAGGAACGACCCGACGTCAATGCCGACTTCTACGGAGCCAAACTCACCAGCGCACAGATCTTGAATGGCGAAATTCCGACTCAGGATGGAGCGAGCAAGTGGCAAGCAGGTGCGACGAAACTTACCGAGGTCCTCGAAAAGACCGAACGTAAAGGCGCCGATGCAAAAGTTCCCCTAGAGAGTAGCACTGGTCCAACGCCTGTGATTTGAAGGACTCTGCGTGCCGGGGTAACCGGGATGCGGCAGGACAGGAATTGATGGCAGGGCGGACCTTTTATAATGGACAGAACATAATGATATGACATAGAACGCTGACGATCTCTTGCTTACCGGAGCGTATAGAGTAGCACTGTAATACATTGAAAATGTGTAAAAACATAGGAATTCCCATGAGACCGAAAACACAAACGAAAGAAAAAGAAAAAAAAACAAAGAGTAACCAGCAATTGAAGTCCAGTAAAGGCCCGTGTTCAAGCTGTTACATATGTTTTCTAGTAATAAGGCTTAAAATGCGGCTCATCACAAGGCTTGCTTAATAATATCTAAAAATCCACATCGACTTCCCATTTCCGATGAGTTGCAAAGATCAGCCAAAATCGGTTTGCTATTTTAAAGGCGTGTAAATTAAGCCACCGGGATCCTGATCTACGCGAGTCCCCAAAAAGAGATCTCAATTCCGCACGAGCATATCACAGAGCGTTATTCCCGGGTCGTGTCTCCATTCTGCAACCCTATGTTTGCGTGCCATGGCCGAGTCCAATTGCTTTGCAAGCCAACGACTGATTGAAATCAAGGCAATCCGCCATACGTACAACAGGTTGATAAGGCAGTTGGGTCGCCCAGCGGCATACGGTACAACGACTTGCCGACATAACGGCCTGACCAGACCAAGACCCATCCCGTATTCCGTATTATCGGTAGGATGCTCGGAGATAGCCCTCGAGCAGGGGTCCGTGGCTGTCACGGCATCGCGGGCGTGTCTCATTGGCGGATGCCCTGCACAATCGTCCAACTATCGCCATGGCATCATCACGGCATGCGATGTGCACGTTGCATTCCCAAGTAGTTTCGCAGCATGCGGGGAACTGTCGCGGGACATACAGACGCCACAAAGTTTATATTGTGTGTCCTCCCGGAGAGGACGATGAAAGAAAGGAATGAAGCACAAGGAGTAAAAAGCAAAAAAAAAAGTGCTGCATACTCCTTCACCCGACATCATGGCCGACGAGAAAAGGGAGACCGTCATCGACAGCCACGTCCCCGACGAGACGGTCAACCGCGGCAAGATCATCGGCGACACTGGCACTGCGTCGTCCAACGAATTCGACGAGACATACGATGTCTACGCACAGCAAAGCGCGGCGTCTGTCGATCCGGCCGAGGCGCGACGCGTGCTGCGGGCGATTGACTGGCACATTCTGCCGCTGCTCATGGGCTCGTACATGCTGCAGTACCTGGACAAGTCGAGCATCAACTTTGCCAGCGTCTACGGGCTGCAGGCCGGCACGCACCTGCACGGCCAGCAGTATTCGTGGCTGGCGTCCATTTTCTATTTTGGTCTGCTGCCCTTGATGGTCCCGTGTTTTCTTTTTTTCTTTTTTCCTTTTTTTTTCAACAGCGCTCGTCTAACGTTCCCAGGCTACTTGGTCGCGCAATATCCGGCCGGCTACCTTCTCCAGCGGTACCCGGCCGGCCGCTTCCTCGGCGCCAGCATGCTCGGCTGGAGCGTTCTGCTGCTCACGACGCCGGCGTGCCGCAACTTTGCGGGCATCGCGACCAACCGGTTTCTGCTGGGCGTCACCGAGGCCGTCGTCAACCCCGGGTTTGTGCTCATCCTGTCCATGTGGTACACGCGCGACGAGCAGCCGCTGCGGCTGGTGGCCTACTACTGCATGAACGGCGTCGCGGGCATCTTTGGCGGGCTGCTGGGCTACGCCATCGGCCACATCACGACGGGGCTGGCGCAGTGGCAGTACGTGTTTCTGATTTTCGGGGCCGTCTCGTTCGTCTGGGCCGTCGTGTTTCTGGCGGCCATGCCCGACCTGCCGACGACGGCGCGCTTCCTCGACCGCCGCGCCGCCGTCGTCGCCGTCGAGCGCGTCGCCGCCAACCACCAGGGCGTCAAGAACCACCACTTCAAGGCGTACCAGCTGTGGCAGACGCTGCGCGACCCCAAGACGTGGATCCTCTTCTTCATGTCCGTGGCCGCGCAGATCCCCAACGCGGCCCAGTCGTCCTTTACGTCCATCGTCCTCCAGACGTTTGGCTTCACCACGCTGCAGACGCAGTACATGCAGATCCCCGGCAACGTCATCCAGATTGCGTCGCTGCTGGCCTCGGGCTACGTCTGCAGCCGCTGGCCCAACATGCGCTGCCTCGCCATGCTGTCTGGCAATCTCGTGTGCGTTGTGGCCGCCGGCGTCTTGGTCGGGCTCGACCCCGGCCCGGACGGCACAGAGAACAAATGGGGCCGCCTCGTCGCCGTCTGGCTGCTGTCGTTCATCTCCGTCGGCTTCAGCCTCAGCCTCACCATGGTCAGCAGCAACGTCGCCGGCTACACCAAAAAGCAGCTGACGGGCGCCTTTGTCTTTGTCGGCTACTGCGTCGGCAACATCATCGGGCCCCAGACCTTTCGCGCCTCCGAGGCGCCGCTGTACCGCTCGGCCTATATTGCGTGCGTCCCCTCCCGTCACCCCTTTTGTCTTTTGCTCGTTGTTGTGTCAGACCGCATGCTCGTGCCGCCCAGCTAACCCCCCCAGGATCCTCATTGGCTTCTCGTTCAAGACCATCTTCGGCCTCGTCCTCTATGCCTACATGTGGGCCGCCAACCGGAAACGCGACCGCGCCGCCGCCGGCGACCCGCGCTCGCCCGAAGAACGCGCGCAGAGCGCCGTCGAAAAGGGCATGCGCGACATCACCGAGCTCGACAATGCAGACTTTCGATATGCTTTGTAGGGGCGATTGGCTGGTAGTGGTGTATGTAGTGGCGTTGCGCAAAGTACACGGTACCTGTCAGCACGATGAGTTGCTGCCGTGCTGTCGTGGAGTTATATACACTCTATAATGTAATCTATATTTATCTATATGGAGAGTGTACAGAGATGACAATTTACTGGGACCAAGAGTAAGGACGCTGTAATGAGTTGGCTCGGCGTGGGAATTCGCACAGGCAGTTCGATATGGATGTTAACGCGAGTTTTTTGTTGCCTACAAAATGAAGTAACTGTTCGCAGTAAGACCGTGTTTACATGAAATTCTTTTTTTATGGTTGACGTTTTCAATTTATGTTATTATTTTCCCATGTTAAAAACATCAAATTACGCCCAAATTCACTTTTGTTTTTACTCGTCAATTTCGAGGTCGCCCTCGTGTTTCGTCATCTTTATGGCTTCCAGCTAAAATCTATGTTTCCGCACAAACACCTCTTGAAGTACGAAAGTATACATAACTTGGTACCGGTTAGGTAACATTTTCACGCACTCAGGCAGTCAGGCAACAGCGCAATAGGAAGTTGAGCGAGAGCTTCCCCCTTCATTTCCGATCAAGGCCAGACCAATTGTCCCATGCCAGGGTTGCCATGTTGCGTGCAGCCACGACACGAACGCCGGGCACAACTTGGAACTTGACGTGTCATGCACGGCCACATCAGAGACGAGTCGGCAAGGAGAAAGTAGATGTAAAGGCGGCGCAATTGGGAGCGCGTCCGCTCCGAGTTTGCAAGACAAGGGAACTGGAGACATGGGCGACAGGCAGACAGGGACAACAGAGACAAGGCATTTCCAAAGGTTTGTCTGGTTTGTCGGCCGGCACGGCGAAGATACCACAATAGGCAACCAAGGCGAATGCACTGTGACCTTGTCTGTGGAAGCCACGCCAAGCCGAACAGGAGTCGAATAAGACGTCGAAGAAACAAAAACAAAAAGGACGACGACCTTTCGTTTGCCTACTTTTCGACGATCTGGCGCTGCAGGTTGTGCAGCCAAGACTCGACTCCTTTTTTTTAATATCATCTTTCGACAGTCTCTCTCCTCAGCTTGAGCCGCAAGCCTTCCTGAACCAAGGGTGGACGAACTGCGGGCATTTATGACTCGTCCCATGTTGGCCAATGGAAGGCGCATTTAAGGTTACAGGGGCATGCCGTCTGACCACCCACTAAAACAGAGCTCCTGGTGATTTGGTTGGTCCATGGTCCCAATGGCAGCCAGACGAAAGACGAAAAAGTCCAGAAAGCTTGGGTCCAAGGCCCAGGGCGTCCAGTTTAGACCAGTCGGCCATTTCCTGGACAGGCAAAGCCCAGCTGGGCACGCAAACGACTTTGTAGAGATCAGCATTGCCAAGCGAACGGACAACATTTGACGGTTACAGGACATGATGGTGTAGTGTGTATGGTGCATTCTGCATGGCGGGGAAGGACGAAAAGGAGGTGAAAAAGAGCGAGAGCTGCTGTTTTTGGCCTAACGCACGAGGAGAATTGGGCTTGCTGGCTCAACGTGATTTGACTGGGAGACTGGCTCGGCTGGCGCAATGTGGCGCAGGGCAGGCCAGGAACACGAGAATGGAAAGGGAGAGTGCCGAGACGGAACAGCTTGTTCCAGTGCGACGTCAAAGTTGTTTTGCAGCAGAACAAGTTTTTTTGGATGTGGTTTTGTCTTGGATGTGGTCTTGTTGAGAAGCCAGAGGACGTGAGCCCTTTTCTGTCCTTGTTTTTGTTCTTCTTTTCTTCTCTTTTTCTTCTCTTTTTCTCTTCTTCTCCTCTTCTTCTCTTCTTCATCACACATGACTGTATTCCCCCGTTCGTATGCCGCACTTGGAATTTAGAGTTTTTGATAAACCGAGTGTTACAAGGTACAAGGCAGATTTTAACTTTCAGCTTGCCGGGGTGGAGAGGGGAAAAGTAGAAAATGCAACCATTCAACCGCCCCAATCGCCCATCGACCGTCGAACATCTTGGGGCTCAGCAAAACAATGGCAGGGATTCGCGTTGGTCGACTCAAGGTTGCTCTGAGTCGCTCGAGGTTCCTCAAGGTTGTGCAAGGGTCGATCCAGGGCTGACCAGGACTGCGTATTTCTCGCGTTCTTCGTTGACCTGCACGGTCTGCCGATCCCATCTCTCGTTTTCCTTAAGCGTAAGGCTGCAGACTGGGGCAGGAAGCGTTGCCTGCGTTGGGTAACATCTACAGCGCATTGTGCAGCATCGTGCGCTGCCGTTGGGTATGAGAGACATTGGTATCTTGTATCGTACAGGATACTTTGGAGGCATTCGTCCCAGTCAGAAATGGCAAGACGTTGAGCCGCCAAGGCCGTTTCAAAGATAAAAGAGCAGCCTGCCCGTTGACATAATCGCAGATATGTGAGATGTCCGAGATGTCGAGATATCTGAGCTGATATCTGAAATACCCAGACTCACCTCTTTCAAGCCCAACACGCCACTATGGCAAAGTCACTCGTTTTGTCCTTTTTGTCCCTGCTGCTGCTCGCCAGCCATGGCCTCGCCCTCCGCCATAAGGGTGACGCGTCCGGTGCCAGGCCCCGGAACGCAACGCTGCCGCTCGGCGGTGGCCGGAAGGGGACCAACATGTTTGGGAGCATGCGCGACCCGAGCTCGCCGGCCGCCCGCTTTGCACCGCGTCAACTGACCTGTCCCCCTGGTGAAGGTGTGGCGGCATACACAAACGCCCAAAAGTGATGTGAACGGCACGGACTGCTAACGAGAGTCTTTAGAGCTCTGCGGAGAATTCTGCTGTTTGATTGACACGGTTTGCGTACGTCGTCTCTGTTGCCGCTTTGTTGCCGTTTTGTTGCTTCCCCTTTCCCGCACACCACGTAGACTAACACCCGCAGTGCGAGGTCGAGTTCGGCTGCTGCGAGCTGGACAAGCCCGTCTGCCAGCCCGACCTATGCTGCCCCGTCGACACCACGGCCTGCGGCCCCGACAACCCGCTCTACTGCCATTACCCGGGCACCATCTGCTGCCCGGAGCCGTCGACCACGGCGTGCCCCGACGGCACGATGTGCTGCGGCGAAGAAGCCTGCTGCGAGGACGGCTACTTGTGCCTGGACGAGAGCATCTGCTGCCTGCCCGGCTGGAAGTCGTGCGACGACTGGTGCTGCCCCATTGGCTCCGACTGCAGCGACGCGCCGGGCTTCTGCGAGCTGGACACGGGAAGCACGTCGTCCGGGGAGCCGCCCGGCCAGACCCAGCAGTCGACGATTCACTTTTCGTCCTCGCAGGCGCCGCCGCCGTCGTCCAACCCGCCGCCGGAGTCGAGTCCCCCGCCGGAGTCGTCTCCCCCGCCGCAGTCATCCCCTCCTCCTGAGTCGTCGCCGCCGCCCGAGTCTTCGCCGCCGCCCGAGTCTTCGCCGCCGCCCGAGTCTTCGCCGCCGCCCGAGTCCTCTCCTCCTCCCGAGTCATCGCCTCCCCCCGAGTCCTCTCCTCCTCCCGAGTCATCGCCTCCCCCGAGTCATCGTCTCCCCCCGAGTCATCGTCTCCCCCCGAGTCTTCGTCTCCCCCGGAGTCGTCGTCTCCCCCCGAGTCATCGCCGCCCGTATCGAGCCCCCCCGCGTCAAGCTCGATCGAGTCCAGCGGGCCGTCGAGCACGATATCCTGCCCCTCGGGCACGCCGACTCTCGTGCTGCCCTTTATCCAAGACCAGACGGATGAGGTGCGTTCTGTCCTCCTTTTGTTTTTTTTATTCTGTTACTTTGTTTGTCCACAGACTAACACGAGCAGCTCATCAACAACATTTGCGTCGGTATGTAGATTGCAGAGCAGAGGGGTACGATTAATGCTGACAAGTGCAGGCCTCCGGAAACAGGGACTCACCGACCACCAGCTGCTCAACTACGCCGGACGCGGCGAAGGCCGCAAGAACCGAAAGCTGACCATGTGCGGCGATGGAAAGTGCTGCAAGGGTAGGTCGTCTCTCTCTGTTTTGTCTCTGCTCTCTGTTTTCCCTTTCCGTTTGACCCACATCGTCCACTCACACATCCCAGACCAGAAGAAAGCCTCCGGCGTCAACAAGGGCGAACCGCTGACGTGCGACGAGTACCCTTTTGCCTCGACGACGCAGAGCAGCCCCAACTCGCACGTCGGCTGCATCCTCGGCTTCCAGAACACGGCCGGCGGCTTTTTCTATCTCAATAACTTTTTGCGCGACCAGCTCAAGTACACAAAGCACTGCCCGTACATTATGCAAATCGACCCGGACTACAACTGCGCCCAGGTGCAGGCGGACTCCATCCCGAAATGCAACAAGAAGACCCGGCGGCAGCTCGAGGTGTCGGCGACGGCGTCGGCCCACGGCGTCTTTTACGATTCTTACAATGGCTCGCCGGGTACTCTCATCATTCCGCTCGGCGACATTGACGAGGGAAGGTCAGTTGTGTTATGCTACGGTGTTGTCTTGCTCTCGTTGTGTACTGACGCTAACGATTTCCAGTTACTCGGTCGAAGTCACCTTCCCTCCCAACGCCGTCGTCTCGCGCGTCCTCATTGGCGACAATCTCGGAAACGAGTACAGCGTGTAAGGACCCATAATGAATGTCCGCTTCGTTCCTCGGCTGTATGCTAATCACCCGCACAGGCAAACATCCCCGACGTCTGGCTCGACGTACCAGTTCACGGCCGAGCTCGACGATTTCGGCTACTCGGCCGCCATCATCGCCGAGACCACCGCCGGCGACCTGTCCGTTGAGTCGTGGTCCGTCGAGGCCATTGGCGATACACCGCCGTTCTCGTCGGGCAGCCCCGGCACGGCCACGCCGCCGCCGACCTCGTCAGCGTCGCGTAGCCAAGAGCCGACGGGCAGTGGCAGCAGCACGATCACGATTGTGACGGTCATCAGCGGCGTGACGACGACCATCACGACGTGCCCCGTCAGCGAGACGAACGCGCCGCCGCCGCCGCCGACGTCCGGTGTGAGTACCATTACCACTGTGATTAGTGGCGTCACCATCACCACAACGTGGTGCCCCGAAACGGACACCACGGTGAGTGCATCTGCGCCGCCTCCGCCACCGCCGCCGGCAAGCAGCGTCAGCACCATCACCACTGTCATCAGCGGCGTGACCGTCACGACGACCACCGTCTGCCCCGAAACGACCCCGTCGGCACCGCCGCCGCCGCCGCCGGCTGGTTCGTCGCCGCCTGGAGAATCGCAGCCTCAGGAGTCGCAGCCTCAGGAGTCACAGCCCCAGCAGTCGCAGCCCCACGAGTCGGCGCCGCCGGCCAACACAAGCCCGACGCTTCTGCCGACAACCGAGCACACGACCCCCGTGACGGTGCCCACCGAGTCGTCGCCGGTGGCTGTCGTGACGGCGGCAGCGACCAAGGCGGACGCTGTGTCGGCCAAGCTCCTCTGGGTCTTGCTGGGCGCCGCGGTGCTGTTCCTCCACCTGTAATGGTTTGTGTTTTTTTTGTGAATTGTTTCAGATTGTGACGGGGCGGATGTCCCAAAGAGGGCCGAACAGGGACAGACCTCTGCAGGTCTCTGTCTCTGTTTATAGACGACCAAAGGGAGCTTCGCTCTCTTCGTCCATCTTCTCTTCTATGCTCCGAATGCAATGAACATGTCGGATTAATTCTTTAATTCACTCTATTTTACGCGTAACAGCGCATGTGACGTGACTCCTTTGTATGATCAAGATCCACGGCATTGTTTTGGAAAGGCGGATACGTCAAAGTATACTCCGAGGCATGTTACCGAATAAAGAAAAACAACTATAAAAACCGTACGCCACGAGTAAAGTGTCAAGTCTCTTCTTTTCTGTATGCACGCGGTCCTCGGACGAAGTGGATTTGATGCCTCTGCCGTCCGACTGAAATGGGGCTGGTTGTGTCGTCCAAGTTCAGCCAAATGGAAACGCCATGAGAACCGATCGCGACGCCATGCACCAAGGCCCGGCCAAACAGACATCCGACCGAGACGTCGCCGCCAGGATTTGGAGGAGGGACGAAGGAACGTGCTGCATTAGCGGCCGGGCCAGCTCACGCATAAGCCTTCTGGCGGATTCGCTGGCTGCATGAACGTGCCGATAGTTGTACGATGCAGTCTTTACACGAAATGCTTGCCGTGTTTCTTGGCTTGGCCATGCAGCAGCGCATCTTTGGCCAGACTGCGTCTCTGCAGGACCCTCGCAGCCCCATTGGCGTGTCTGCACGTCGGCAGCAGCGGCAATGGCGCCAGGCTGGTTCCGGCTTGCTTGACGACGTCGATGTGAGTGGCTGCCATGACAGTTGTTATGTCGGAAGGCCCCTATGCCAACGTGGAGGTCATTCTTCCATATAGATGACAACGTGGTAGGGAAGTGTAAACAGCACACGATATGAGTTTGTCATTACTATGCAGTACGTAGCTGTTCGCACGTCCCCGTGGCCGATGTCGCTGTGCATCAAGCGAATGTCTACGGGCAGTTTGTTTTGGCATTATTTGAATACGTCGTGGATACATGGACGCGTCCCCCTTATGTGTATGCCCATACTTTTGAGAAGATGCAGTTTTGTCACGCATCGTTGAATGTTGGATACAATACTCTCGACTTCGTTGTCAGCAAATGCATTCGTATTGCATCGTGATCACTTGTCGCTCGTCTACGACATGCTCCGAAACCTACGAGTATGGACCTGTGAGGGAGCCAGGGAGCAATAGCAATATGGAGCCCGCGTTTTCGGGCCCCGTTGTTTTGCCACGTTGGACTGAGAGTGTCGTCCAGGCGCATTTTAGTGTGTACATTGACCGCCACGGGCGTTGTGTTCTGTGCCAGTGCCTTGTGGCGAAATGTAAGATGCCAGCACTGCCCGGCCACTACAGCTGTAGCGCGGACACTGGCGCAGACTGTGGCGTAACGGCGGTCCAGGCACCGACATTTGCTAATAATAGCCGTTGGATAGGCGTATGCAGTAACAAACAACAGCCTTGTCCGACATCAAAGACGGTAAAAATAGCAGCTTGCGTGGACAATGTTTTTCTATTCTTTTTCTTTCTTATTTTTTTGTGCAGTCTTGCTTCCATTCAGAACAAAAGTATGTCGGTCGGCCGAAGGACGTGCACAGTTGTAATTACGTAGTAATTACAGGTCATCTCACCAGAGACCGTGAGACTGCTCAGCTTACACGCATTGAACGTGGTGGGCATTTTTGTCTCATCCTCTTCCAAGTCAGCACAATGACCTTTTTCTCTTTTCACTTTTTTCTGGGTTTGGGAATAATACCTGGTACTGTAAAATAAGAGTAATCCACAAACGGAACGATCGCCACGACGACGGAGGCACTACTATTCCCCCTTTGCATCCTTCTGTTCCTTGCGGATTTCATTGCAACATGGATACACTTGCACGGTCTGGGGACTGCAGCATAATACTCCTCAAGTCTGTCTACGTCGTAATGAAAGGAGCGTCCCGCAGTTCATTGTGTTGGCTGTCACCGGGGTCCGTTTCCGCTTCAAACTCCAACATCACTGTTGGTCCTTGGCAATGCGACGTGATGTACAATTTCAGCCACACGTCATATTTTCGGCGGTGTCTGCAGTTGTGCTGAGGAACTACATACGGAGTATTTTAGGCTGCACTGCCAGACATGACCGTGCATTTGCTCCATAAGCTGTAATGCCTCCGTCTCCCTCCCCGACTGCCTCAGCCACGCCAAGGGGCGCCGGCCAGGAATTGTTCCTTTTCGACCGTGTCCACTTGTCCCACTCCCTGAAAACGATCTCCACTGAATTGACCCGAGCTTTGCTCAAACATGATGGAGCTTGACTCTTTCCAGCGTGGTCGCGCGAGATTAGCGTGCAGGCGACGTGGTGATTATGGGGGGAAGGACCCTTGGCAGTGCCTTCTGGAGTGTAAACCATGCAAACGAATAAGCAACGACATGACCTCATTCCAAGAACCTGCTTGGCGTCGTACAGCAGGAACAACTACCATGAAGAAAACGAAAAGAAAAACCCCCAGACTACACGGAAGTTGTGTTTCAGAGGCAGCCTAGACCGCCTAGAACAGGTGAGAAGGAACAGGAGACCGTGCACTAAGATGAAAGCAGGAACCCGGAAACCCGGAAAGACGGAAACCAGGCCAAACCAGGAAACCAAGAGAAGCCCCGGACGGATCCCCTGTTTGTTGAAATTAGGAGGACTGCTGATGGTTTAACTTTGTTTGCTTTATGGTTCTTATGCCGATCGCTGTATTTGGCAGTAGAGAGCACAGCAGACGAATACAGACTCCATATTGTCCTGTCTATATAAACAGACTGTCCTGTTGCCCAAAACTTGGCATTCTCATCTTTCCCTTCACCAAGATACCCAGCCCAACTACCTATATTGCCTTTTCAGACTCTCTGCCTACAGGATATACCAACCCTCTCCAATACAAACCACTTCTACTTCCTCTCCACTCACCACACAACCGCCATCATGCGTGCCGCCACCACCTTCGTCTTCGCCCTCGCCGCTGCCTCCGGCGCCCAGGCTGACATTATCGGCGACATCACCCGCGGCGTCGTCTCGGCCGTGACCGACGTCACCCACGGCGTTGTCTCGGCCGCAACCGACGTCGCCAGCCACGCCGTCTCGGCCGGCAACGACGCCGCCAGCCGCGCCACCTCCGTCTTTGGCGACATCACCTCGGCCGCGCACTCCGTCGCCACGGACATTGCCAGCGGCGTCGAGTCGCGCGCCAGCGAGGCCCGCAAGAGCGCCACGGGCGTCACGGGCAACGGCAGCACCACGGCCACGCGCACCACGGGCGCTGCCAACAACACCAGCACGCGCACGTCGGCCAGTGCGTCGCCCACGGCCGGCACGGACAAGAACGCCGGCGGTCACAACATGCCCCTGACGGGCATCAGTGCGGCGGCCCTGGTGATTGTCCTGGGCGCTGCTGCTGTCCTGTAAGGAGGAAACGGAGAATATTCGGAAAATGGTTGGAGAATCGTCGAATCAGGATGATGAATTTGGACAAGTCGTCATCTTGGAAACTGCCAAGGTCCACAAAATGTATATAGCGTGTCGTGTATAAGATTGCTTAAGCGCTCATAATAATCAATGTTTTACAAGACGCCAAAGAACAAAAAGATGCTGCCTTATGTACGGCGGAGTGACGTTGGTGATACCTATTGAAGGGAGGAAATGTAGATTGAATAAGACTATGAATAAAAAAGGACACAAAAAGCGACTATAAACCGCCGCTTGAGACCAGGTAGTATTTGCAAAACATCCACATAAATAACCTCAAAAGATGCTTAAACGGTCGATACGGTCAATACGGTCATACGATCGTAATGCGTTGCTTCCATCTACTCAATTCACACTTGGGCCTATGATATCCTATAAACTACGTCCAGTCTTTTCCATTCTCTCCGAGTTGGTACATATAACCACGTACCCAACACTCACTCCGCCCCCCACGCATCGTGCGGTGCAATGCTGCCATATTGGCTGGACGACTGCTCATTTTGGCCAGCCGGGCGACCTTGCTCTTCATCCACAGTCTCGCCGTTGCTGTTGTTCTCGTGGCCATGGCCATTGCCGGTGTCGCCTCCCTCCCCATTCGGCCGTTCATCCGCGTTGTTGTCGATTTCGTAGACATAACCTCCATTCGGCGAATGGTGTGCGTCGTGGCCGTCTCCTGGCCCATTGTCTTCATGCCCAGCGCCCAGGAGCGGCTGGCGAACGCCGTCGTTGTTGTCGTTGTTGTCGTTGTTGTTCCCTTCCCTTTGCCAGGCGCCGCCGGCCGCAAACGGCAGCAAGAGCCGCGTCCAGCCGCTCTCCGACGGTGATGCCTGTCTGTTTCTGTGTCGCTGGCTCTGTTGCTGCTGCCGCTGCCGAAGCGCGGCCGCCACCCACGGCGCCGCAAAGTACAGCACCGCCTGCAGCAGCAGCACGCCCGCTGCCAAGCCGCCCTCGACGCCCGTCGTTCTCTCCAGAGCCGCCGTCCACGGTGCCGCGCACGCCTGCGTCCGACCAAACCGCTCGGCACAGGCCGCGCCGCCGTGGCCAATGTCTTCGGCAAACGGCCACGCGCGGTCCCGCACCGAATTGAAGCCGCAGCAGTCGAGGGCGTCCTGGATGCGGCGCACGACGGCTGCGTTCTTGGTGGCAAACAGGTGCTGCCAGGCGGTGCCCACCACACACGCGCGGATTGCCGACGGGGCCGAGCGCTCCAAGAACAAGACGGCCAGGACAACCGCCAACAAAAACTGGCCGGCATTTAGGGCCTGCACGAGGCTGGCGACGAGCAGTGGCCGACGCCGGGCGAAACGGAGGACTCGGCCGCTGCTGTTGTTGTTGTTATTGGTCCCGTCATCGACAGCCAAGGCCGCCGGCAGGACGACTGTGTTGGCAAAACTGACGACGGGAAGAACGATGGCGAGGACGGTCAGGGCCGGGGAGAGGGGCAGAGCGAGGGCC